CAAGTTTTCTGATTTATGTGGCACTTGGAAAGCTCAATTTCCTACCAAATCTAGGGAGGCTATATAATAAAATTCTATTCTATCACCTCTGCCGCACCTCCCAGGTAATACGCAACTCATCTCCAACACTCCACAGGAACCACTCTGGCATGGAGGACGGGTGACCTAATTGTCAAATTCAATCTTCTCTTTTCAGCCCTCATCTTATTTGAGTTTCTTTGGGCACGTGAAACCACAACCACCCCTTCCTTCTTCAAAGCCATTTCTCCCTTTCCTCATAACTCTATCACCTTTCCCTTATACTAGCCATTACTTACATGTCTCCTTTGTGGAAACATCCATTTCTGCCCCCTGGAATGCTGGTAAAACCCAAGTCCTATCTTTTGTCCTCTTTGTTCTCACTCCCTGAATGATCTCATCCAATCCAGCAGTTTCAGCCAAGCCTTCCCCGTTCAAGTGCCTCCCATCTCTTCACACCAACTGAGATCACGCCCCAGAGCAACAGGACCTGAGACCCCACGGCCTATTGAACAGCTCTCTGACAGTCAACCTCTCCAGGACTGAGCTACCCATCTCTTCTTCCTCACATTCCTCTTCCTGGAGGTTAGAAGCATCATCTCCTAATCAAGCCAGAACCTTTCGTTCCCTCATCCTCCACATCCACTTACTGTCAATTCTGTCTTCTAACAACTTGCCCTTTTTTCCATCTTAATTGCTCCTCCTTAATTGCGTCTGTCATCTTTTAGCGAACTATTACAATTGCTCCTAGCAGGTCTCTCTTCTATTTACCACCCCTCTGATGTGGCCTCCATGTTGTTGCCAAACTAAAGTGTATTTTATTATTGCTGAAGTTAAATTCTTCTATCACGCCCCATCGCCTAGCAAATAAGACCAGCTTCTTAGGATAACGTACGGTCCCCTATAATCAAGCTTCTGCTTTCCTGTCAGACTCATCTCTTGTTAAGCTCCTCATAGCACAGAGTACTCCAGTTATAACCAATTACAGTAAAACCTTGGGATTGCGAGTAATGTGGTTTGCAAGTGTCCCGCAAGACGAGCAAACATTTCTAATACATATTAACATGGTAAATAGCGATGTCTTGCAATATGAGTAGTTTGTTTCTGGAACGAATTATGCTCGCAAACCAAGGTATTACTGTATTTGTGTTTCTGTATTTTTCAGTGCACTCTACACCAGAAATGTCTTTCCCCCAAGCTAGCCCACAAGCACAGCTGACACTTGTCTGCTTGTCAAATTCCTACGCATCTTTCAAGTCTCCCTCACTTCCTCCATAGGGCCTTTTCCGATCCTCCGCACTAGATATGACTGCCCTCTCTTCTCTCATGGCACCAAATCACTTCACTATAATTGTCTGTTTACAAATCTGTCTCTTCCTTTCCCAATTAAATTTTATTTTTTAATTAGTAATTTCACATCATCTGACATTGTACCTGACACATGGTATAAGCTCAATAAATGTCTGTGGAATAAAAACTATTGCAAAAAATCATCATTCACTTAAGATTCAGAGAGACCAGCAGATTTGCATTGTGTAGGATTGTAGAGCAGTGAACTAAGAATCAAGCTATTTTGTGATTTAATTTTCCAAATTTAAATAATGCATACATAGCCACTTGGTTCTGTTCTCTTTTACTCTCATGCACTCTCTCTCCTAATACCCTACTCCAGCTCTGAATCATCTGTTGGCCTTCATCTTTTTTTTCCTAGTGGCAGCCCCATTAAGTCCTATTATTCAAAGAGTCAAAAATTCCACTCCATTTAATTCTTAGATAAGCCTATCCTGTGACCCTCTGAAGTCTCACTGTAGACCCTTCCTGAAATATCAGGATGTAGGGCTACTCATCTAGTAATAACTCTCGAATGTATAGATTTTTTTTTAGCTTTCACTTACATTAATCTCATTTCATCTTCACAATAAAGATAGGCAGGTCAGTTTTTATTACTATCATTTACCAAGTAAAAAACAGATGCCAAGAAACCCTGATGATACCTAGCCTTCATAAGTTCCTTCACGAAAAAAACCTGAGGAATACCAACTCTGTACTTTCTCATGTCCAGCCCTCATATGTTTTATTTAAACACGGTCTACCAAAGTCACATCCTATTGTTGTTCTCCAACTGTTGGCACAAAGACGACTTTTACTTCTGTCTCCCAAACTATAGCCTTCCTGTTTTTGCCTGTGCTTCCACCATGCTGATTTGCTTGCCAGCTGAGCATTCGAAAGTCATCATTTTTCTCCCCTTTTCAACTCCAGAATCCAATGACTTTGACAAAGGAAGCTGTATTTTATGAGTTTTGCCCCAGAGTCCAATCCTCTGCAAAAATCTAAGGGAAACTTCACCCATAACCCAGTTGTCTTTTTGAAGAGCCTTTTTCCTGAACTCAGGCAATCCTAATGAGATTACTCCCAGGCCAGTTTTCTGTGTTTCTCATCCTTTTCCTTTCATTGCATGCCTCTAAAACTAGGCAAGGAAAATGAGAGTCTATATAACTTAGTTAAACATGACTACTTTTCTAAAAACACTGATAAGTGAGGAGAGGCTCAAACGACTGGGAGGAAATGAAGTTTAGAATTACCTGCAGGTTTTTCCACACTCTGCTTCAACATTCTCTCATACTGAGCTGGCCTTAGTTCCTAGACCCAGATCCCCTCACTTTAACTGCTCTTGCTCTCCACCCACCACATCGTGCTGTCCCTTACACTTGGCATTCACCTCCTTTTCTGTCAACGAAGAGTAGAAAGGGATAAAAGGGCAGGAGTAGACACAAAATAGTTACGTTAGCTATGTGTGTGTTCACAGGAGTTTGGCCCACATTTCCAAAGCTGTATCTCAGAGGAAGTCCCCTCCCTACCCATAAGCACAAGAAGCTCTTTCCCTCAACGCATGGAAAACACCTGCCCTTCTCACTGTCCTCTGAAAAACAATGCCAGAGAGAAACCATCAACTCTATAAATTAGCTCAGCTGGTTAGACCAGATGCCAAGAACCAGATTCGGCCTCTGAGAGGCCATTTGGCCTCTCCTATTTCCAAAAGCACCTCTAACTCCCAGTCAATCATCTTACAACTGTCTGTCACTCATCAGGAAGGCTATAAATGGATCTGTACATCATCATTTCTAAAAACACAACCAACCCCAGGCAGGCTCAGTAGCATCCTCCTATATATTTTATTTATTCCCATTTTCAGAGGGAAATTCAAACTTGAGACTTCAAGGAACTGAGTCACATGCAATTTCTAAAAGTGCAACAAGGAGCTGAGATTAACTGAATGTCATTTTCCTAAATCTTCTGTCATCTCCCTGCCTCTCATTTCAATATTCCTGTCTTAGGCTGCAGCTTCTCACTCCATTCTTTCGAGGTATATATGTGTAGAACACATGCTCATCTAAAGGATCAGCCTACTTGTCATGACCAAAAGCATCACCCCCACTAGCTCTGACTCTCACTCATTTCAATTAGATTCTTCATTACTAACAACTGATGTTACAAGAAGCTTAAGACTTCATTTCGGAAAAGAAATTTGTTCTTCATGTCGGGCTGAGGTCTTTAGGCAGGGTTTCAAGTCTGTCCTGCTGCAACTGTTCAATCTGAGGGTGTCCAAGCATCAGCTTTCAATAGAAACCTGGAAGAATGGATTATTCCCAGGTGGTTGGTAAAGTGGAAAAATACAGATTAAACAACTATTAATTGTACTAATAAACTGAAATTAAACACAGCTGTTTGTTGAGAGCTTGCCCTGATTTCCCCAATTTCAATGCTACTGTGTGCTCGCACACAATGCCTTCGATTTATTCTCCTTCATTTCAGGCTGCCCTAGGACTTGTGCTACAGGAGAGGAAGGTGAAATCCATGGATGATAGATGATGTCTAGGATGCAGATATTCTAGAATTCAAGCCTGGGTAAAACTCAAAAGTGACAGCATCATACACAAAGAAACAGGGTCTGGCCTTTCTTCCCAGAAGGACTATTAGCTAAGCTATTTTTGCTCCACAAATTAAAGTGACCCATCACCCTGATTCCTAGCAATCTTCCTAAAGACAGTATCCACTCCTCATATCCTCCCAGACATAATCACTCAAAGTAGGTCAGAAATGTTGCTTCCTTCCCCTCATTGATTTTCATTACGAGGATGTACTTTCTGGAACACTAACTACCCAGCACAAGTACCAACAACACCCCCTGGAAATGTTTGGCACACCAAGTTCAGTTCCCCTAAAAGGAGGACAAACTATCATTACCCATAATTGATCCGGCTTGGCTGTATATCAACAATAATCTCAAGCAATAAAACTACACAGTGGCAGTGCCTTAGCCAGGTGATGAACACCTCCCAAAAGGAGCATATTCACTCTGTCTTTTCTAATTTTCTAGATCAGAAACCAGTCTCTTTCCTAAGCACCCACTCTTTTTTCTTCCTAATTCACATCCATGTTTTGCCAGAAGGATGCCAAGTGACACCACACACTGACTTAGCATATCCCCAGTGCCTTATCAGGAAGCTGAGAGCCGGGAGTCGGGGAAGGGGTTCGTGGAGAAGGGGGAGGTGGGAAGCAGCGGGAAACCCTGCCGTGGAAGTATCTAGCCCTCTGGAAAAGCTGTGAAGAAGGGGTCTCCGAATCCCACTGGCGGGGTTCCCCCAGTCTCCTCCCCTTGCTGAAATCTCTCCCTGGGCCTCAGGTCCTCACGCTTCGCACTCCAAAGAGGGCGCCGCAAAGTCCTTCAGAACCCTCAAAACACAGGAGTGCGAACAGAAAAGCATCGCCCGAAAGACAGCAAAGCCACACACCCTCTCTCTCGGCCAGCGTTCCGGGGCGGGCAACTTCATCCCTTGAAACAAACGAAAACCCCTGTCCTCCCAGGAAGGAAAGAGGCGACGGCAGAGAGCAATAAAACAGGCACCACCCTCACCCCTCATCTTCCGCGCTGTCCGCCCCCTCCCCCGTTGACTCCAGGTAAAGGACCAGGTGCAGCTCACCTCCTGGCAGGGAGGAGGCGGGCGGCCGGAGGAGGCCAGGTCCCCAGCCCAGGCCGCCTGGCAGCCGGCGAGCGCCCAGCAGCAAAGCCAGGCGGGGCTCCA